TTTAGTAGAGACAGGTTTCACCATCTTGGCTAGGCTGGTCTTTAACTCCTGACCTTGTGATCCACCTGCCTTGGCCTCTGGGATTACAGATGCCAGCCACTATGCCCAGCCTGGAATTTCTATACACATAGGGCATGCATGGTTAAGTCATTTCTATCACTTTAAACCTAGAAAATGATAATTTATGTTAATGTTTCTGAAATGTTTTCTTTTTGTATTAATGCTCCTTTAAGAAGCATTTTAAGAACTACCACACCCCATCAATCCCATGAAATTTTAATACCATAGATATCCTATGTGCTCTGTGCGTATCTGTGCTTTATACAATCAACCAGTAAGATTTACACATACTCTCACACACACACAAACCAATTTTCACTTCCTTAGGGGTAGTATCTCCCATGTTAAGAATGTACAGCAATATGGCTAGGTGTGGTGACTCACATCTGTAATCCAAGCACTTTGGAGGCCAAGGCGGGCAGATCGCCTGAGGTCGGGAGTTCAAGACCAGCCTGACCAACATGGTGACACTCCGTCTTTATATTTAAAAAAAAAAAAAAAAAAAGAAGAAAAATACAAAAATACACTACAGGCATTACAGGCATGGTGGCAGGCCTCTGTAGTTCCAGCTACTCAGGAGGCTGAGGCAGAAGAATTGCTTACACTTGGGAGGCAGAGGTTGTGGTGAGCTGAGATCACACCACTGCACTCCAACCTAGGCAACAAAGCAAGACTCTAAAAAATAAAAAAGTAAAAATAAAGACGGGTGCAGTGGCTCACCCGAGTTTGAGACTAGCCTGACCAACATGTTTAAACCCCATCTGTACTAAAAATACAAAAATGAGCCAGGCATGGTGGTGGACACTTGTAATTCCAGCTATTCGGGACACTGAGCCAAAAGAATTGCTTGAACCTGGGAGATGGAGGTTGCAGTGAGCCAAGATCACGCCACTGCATGCAAGCCAGGATGACAAAGTGAGACTCCCGTCTCAGGAACAAAAAACAAACAAACACTACCAATAAAAGTACAGCAATAATATATGGTATATTTTTGCTTCTTTCAATTACAGAAATTTCCTCTGCCAGCACCAGTTGAGAAAAGTTTATCGCAAAGGTATAGAACCAAGGATGTGTCAAGTATTTCTTGACATCTACAACTCTACCACTGCAAATTCAGGCTTTCCCCCAAGCTTAAATATTATTTCTGAAGTCGGAGATTACTTTATCAAACTAAATATATAACTTTTACAACTCAAAGACATGAAAGATATGACCCATACATGTTTACTTCCTTCACCTTTAAGATACCTACCTCCTTTCTCACTGTCGTAGTGTGATGCATCAAACTGAGCATCATCATTAGGGAGCTGCACACTGGCTATCACAAGATGGTTTTGTTCATCCGATGTGTGTGTCCCCAGCACAAGTCGATGAATGCTGAAATCTTTCCCCTCTGGTCTGAAACAGCAATATACGGTCACTATTCAAATTAGTAACATCAAGAAAATAAGAAGTCAACAATATACATGTTATGTAAAAGGCACTATTACAACCAGGTTTTTTCACCCTGGGCTGGAATGGAGTGCTACAATCTTGGTTCACTGCAACCTCCAGCTCTCGGGTTCAAGCTATTCTCGTGCCTCAGCCTCCCAAGTAACTGGGACTACAGGCACCTGCCACCACACTTGGCCTCAAGTGATCCACCCACCTCAGCCTCCCAAAGTGCAGGGATTACAGGCAAGAGCCACTGTGCCCAGCCAAGAGCCTTATTTTCTACTTAATTACTCTGGAGAAAAAGTAAAACATCTAATGGAATAAAATATGAATTAACTATTCACTCGCTACAACAGGTTAGAGGTTAAGAAAACCATTGTTGGGTACGCCAATAATTTTGTTTACTAAAACTTTCATTAAAAAGGAAAAAAGGGGAAAGGGTACAAAGAAAATCCAAAGAAAAAAATGGAAAAAGGGAAAAGAGAAAATTAGATTAAGCAAACCAATTTTTCAGATATTTACTAAATACCTAATCAACAGACACACATTGCTCCAAATGCTATGGAAGTACAAAGATGATTAAGACATGATTTTTGTCCTTAAAAAACCCTCAGCTGGCTAATCCCAGCTACTCAGGAGGCTGAGGCATGAGAATGGCTTGAACTCAGAAGGCAGAGGTTGCAGTGAGCGGATATCGTGCCACTGCACGCCAGCTTGGGTGACAGAGAAAGAAAGACAGAAAGAGAGAGAGAGAGAGAGAGAGAAAATTACAAAATTTGCCTAAGAACACACAGCTACTAAGTAACAGAAGTACACTGAAGTCCAAATCTGCCTTTTGATACGGGAGAGCACACTGGGAGACAAGCCGATTAAAACTGACTTTTTAGTGTCCTGAATGCAATCTTAAGACATTCCGTACTCCATACTGGGCCAAGGGCATCCGCACTATCTGGGAACTTATTAGAAATGCAGATTCGGCCGGGCGCGGTGGCTCAAGCCTGTAATCCCAGCACTTTGGGAGGCCGAGGCGGGTGGATCACAAGGTCAAAAGATTGAGACCATCCTGGTCAACATGGTGAAACCCCGTCTCTACTAAAAATACAAAACATTAGCTGGGCATGGTGGCGCGTGGCTGTAATCTCAGCTACTCAGGAGAATTGCCTGAACCCAGGAGGCGGAGGTTGCGGTGAGCCGAGATCGCGCCATTGCACTCAAGCCTGGGTAACAAGAGTGAAACTCCGTCTCAAAAAAAAAAAAGAAATGCAGATTCTCCCATCCACTCCAGACCTATTGAATCAGAAACTCTAGAAGGCGGCGCACAACTATGTTTTACAATACCACCAACTGATCATGATGCACATAAAATTTTGAGAACCCCTGGTAGAGATGGGAAAGACGCTACACAAGAAGAATTCATTGAGCTTTATAAATTGACTGCCTGTAAAATGGAGAAACAGAAAATGAAAAACAAATGCCAATTAGGATAAAAAGAAATAGGAACAATATGAAGAGAAAGTTGGGGTAAGATATTCATGGAAGGAATTATTCCATTTACAACATGTCTAATTGGGAAAGACAGTGAGATATATCAGGGAAGACACCAGCAAGCAGAAGAAAAATCAGGAAAAGCTCTGGAAAAGTTAGGTCTAAAGATACCAATAGGAATTCTTCTGCACAGATGTGACACGCAAAGCTTTGAGAACATCTACCATACATTGAAAAAACAGAAATGATTGTTTCCTATGATCCGTGAAATAAATTTAAAGAAAGAAAAAAAGAGAGATGAAAAGAGGGATATGAACAGCAAATTGGAATTACCTGCATGTAGAAGGCTAGACAAAGAACCAGAAGAATGAAGGGGAGGACAATGCTATAGAACTACAATTGTGGTTCTTCTTTTTTTTTTAAAGGGGGAAATGGATATGAATAAACACCAGAAAAAGAACACACACAAAAGTAAACACTGCATCAGGGCTGCTTGCTTGTAAGTAACCCTCATCTTAAACCCCAAAAATAGGGCCAGGCACTGGGGCTCATGCCTGTAATCCCAGCACTTGGGGAGGTCAAAGTGGAAGGATCACTAAAGCCCAGAAGTTAAAGAACAGTCTGGGCAGCACAGCAGAAAATTTTTTCAAAAATTAGCCAGGCATGGTAGCGTGTGCCTGTAGTCCCGACTTATTCTAGAGGCGAAGGCAGGGGGGAATCCCTTGGCCTAGGAGGTCAAAGCTGCAGGGAAGGCCGGGCGCGGTGGCTCAAGCCTATAATCCCAGCACTTTGGGAGGCCAAGGCGGTGGATCACGAGGTCAAGAGATCGAGACCATCCTGGTCAACAAGGTGAAACCTCGTCTCTACTAAAAATACAAAAAATTAGCTGGGCAT